CAAACTTGTATCGCGGTGCGACCTAAGCTGCGAATTAGGATTTGCATAACGAAATGCACGAGCTGCCCTTGCAGAAGGCAGACGTTAACTCTTTAGAGATTGCATAAACGTGAAATTAAGTTAATGTGTTTAGGAAATCTCTCAGGCAAAACTAGACCATATCAGAAATGAATCAAGCGTAAACAATATTCGGTTTTGAAGCTCTTAATATAATTAGCTTTCTCTGCACAATTCACGGTATGATACGACCTATATAACTGTTTTAAATATAAATTCTATATCGACTGTTTTATTTGGGGAATCTCGGTCGTCGATTTATAACACTTTTGTATAAAAATAATGAGAGCAGTGTCTCACGAAGAGCGAGATTGTACAAGTGAAACTGTCACAGTAAAGTTTTAAAAATGATATTTATATTTGCAAGCCGTATTCTTTTATACGGTATTACGAATCGTTGTAAAAATAGACTGAATCCAATTATCAGATTTGAATACTTAATTAAATAGTGTCCTCTTTCGGATATAGATTTCAGGTATATATTTAAGGTATCGCTTTCGTAGAATCATATGCAAGAATATTCAATTCTTATATTCAACGCAGAAGAAGAATATAATCAGAATTCTGATAATGGTTATCCATGAATATACATGCTGCCTTGATCCTAGATTCCAGTTTACATGCATTGTTGAATCAGACCGGAAAGAGTGTCTTAATTTCTGGGTAGGCTGACGTAGTTCCGTTAGATGGAAGCGTGATACCGACTCCCCCGAACGGAAATATCGAAAATCGAATGATAATATTGAATCATTCTGAGAGCGGATCCACGATTATTGGCGCGTGCTGTGTCAGCGGAAAGGACGTTAAATGGCATTTCTGACTGTTTCTGGCTGGTTGCACAGCTCGTATCGACGGCGTGCTTTGCAATACACGTTAATCGAAATTTTCTTTCACATGATTTTATTGTTTTTATTAATGCTTATAAGATTGCACAAACCAGTGACTTTCATATCCTGCAGTCATAATCAATTCTGAATTAATAACTAAATCAATTAGAATGACATACAACTTATTTTTATAAGAAAAGAACATTTATAATATTATTTTGATTTAGATGATTTAATGCAGATCTTTATCACATAGATGGATATCAATACTTTCATATATTGATTGTTAAATATAAAATTTCTAATTTTGGATAAGAATTGCATGCATTCATTCTATTCAATGTAAAAAAAACCTATTAAAATGTAAATTGCTAGCTTTACATTATATACGTAGTATATAAGAAATCATGTGGAATCGTTGGATCGAAGCAAAAGCAAGAAATGGAATTTATATGAAATAAGTTTTATATGAAACTCAATATGTTCTTAAGGAAAGTACCTTAATAAATTACACAGTATCTTCGAAGAGACAAGATGTATTTTAGAAAAGCCAAGAAATACGTGCCAAGAGGTTTTGTCCGATTTTGCGGTCTGGAGGACGCCCTTGCATTTTCGGCGGCATTCTGTACAGTTCAACTCGAAAGCGGATAAAATCGACTTTCTTGATGGCGATGACGTAGTCGATCCTTAACTGCATGCTATTTCGAGATTTTCGCCGTTTCGGTTAGAAAATATCCCGCGAAATCTTTGAGTCGGCAGCGAAACGAAACGTTAAAGTCACGCAGGCCCTCATGGCGCGACCTCGAAGATAATAAAGCTCAGATATTGCATCCCAAATCACGAAGAGTCAAATCGATATTCCACGTTAATCGTTCAGTTGCTTTTGGCTTCTGTTGTAAATCTGACAGCTAGTGCTTAACTATAATTTAGATAAATTAAGGGCAAGAATATATGCAATGCTCCCATTATAAAAGGTCGACTCTAACATATCGAAAACATTGGAGATTATCAAAAAATAAATTTCACAGAAAATCAATTTTTTTTATTTGAGATTAATTCAAGTGATAACACCTTAGTTAGCTAATATTCGTCCAATAATGAAGATTTTAAATCTTACCTAGATGTGACCCTGGAAAAAAATATTATACATATAATGGACATATCATATACATATATAAACATATATAAAATATGTCACTATTATATGTATATATTATTATGTATTATTATATATTATTTTATATAATTATATATGAAACATTTTTTCCCCAAGACAAGATAACATTTGAGATATGCATAAATAAAATCTACGAAAGTCAGTATTTTTCAAAAATTGATATTTTTATTTTATCGTACTTTTCACTTTATTTTATAATATTGGTTTAAAGATTTAGAGAAAATAGCATCAGATATCTCTTAATAAATATGTACTATAACATTTAAAATAATTTAAAGAATATAAATATAATTTAAAGAGTATTAAGAAAATAAGATAGAATTTCGAAACTTGATTTCAATAAAACATTATAAAAAGCTTCATTTCGAGTTAAAATGAAAGCCCTTAAAGGAATTTTTGGCGTTTGCTACGGAAAAGCCGTTTTTTTAAATATAAAATAGTTAAACGAATAGCGTAAGTATTTATATTAATGATAAAATCGATTTTATTGACCTTAAAGTATATTAAAGGGAAAAGGTTACTGAATTTTCTCAACTACTGTTTTTATTGAATGAATTAATTTTTTTACACTTACAATAAAGAAGATTTTGTAATACAATTTGTAATATATTTTAATTAGTAAAAAAGAATTCCTGGATAGATGGGTTTAACCTTTTCAGACTTTGTATATATTGTAATAAAAAAATTTGAAGATATTATCCGTTGAAATTATTTAATTCTAATTTAAAAAACAAAGAAATTAGGCAATTAGGCAATTAGAAATCGATACTATAATTGGTGCTTAAATAACTAATAGACCTTAATGAAATGTATTTCATATTAATGTATTAATGCGTGTACACGTACATTCCGGTTAAATTTTAGCCTTCTTCAGCGTGGAAAAAACAATAAGTTTTTGCTATATGATCTGCATATGTAGGAACCTACCAATTACAGCGCCGATGTCTAATTGCCCTAATTTATTTGTACTTTTAAATTAATTTCAAGGAATCTAATTTCGACTAATTTATATTATTTAATTCGATCGATATCTAATATCTAATAAATAATAATAATGTGTATGTTGGAAAAATAGTCAAAATTTTGAAAAAAACTAGTATAAAATACTTGAAAAAAATTAATACATATAGTATGAATTTAATATAAAATGTACATAAATTGAATTAAAAACGGTTTTTTAACATGATTCCTGTAAAATCAAATCTGAAGGGGTTAATATCCCTTAGAAATTTGTCACATAAATCTACACTATTGCTGTCTAATTTTTCAGTAGTGGAGCTGCTCCGAAGAGAGGGGGCTGAATTCCACTGCACCTATACGAATACACTTTACAACGCAAAGCAAAGTTCCATATGGGTTTACAACTTTCCATGCAAAATGAGGTCACAACTAAACTTATGTGTCTAGTTTTTTGATGATGGAGCCCTAAAGGTGGGGTGAAATCCACTGCACTCACACTTAACGCAAAGCGAAGTTTGATATATGGGTTTGCAACTTTCCACATAAAATTTAAATTACAAAGTTAAACACACATTTATATTGTCAGCTTTTATTTGTTAATAACTTTTTAATGAACGGCAGTGTAACAATAAGGTTCAAGCACGACTTTTCACGCAAAGCAAGATCCATCCCGCACACTTTCTCCCCTTCATCACAATTAATATAAATATTATTTATTTTACTATTTTATTTTCTAAAAATGACTTTTTAATAGGGGTCGCCGAAAATCCCTTTTATTTTAACACGAAATGAAGATGAAGACATTTTTTACAAAATTCTATCTAAGTCGAAAATAGTCGACTTTCGGAATTTTGTTCAAAAAATGAATACATTGATAAATACATTTCTTCTAAATTTTTAAAGATCGTTATTTAGAAGGGGCTAACATTCGGCTTACAGGAGTCAAAGGTGATGGCACGTATCACGCGCCCTCGACAAAAAATGGCGAACACGACTGATTCACCTGCGACGGCCGGTAGCAGCCTCCTTTCGTCTTCAACAACGACACCATTTCCCACCTCGACAACATCGGCAGCAACTTATTCGAGCGAGAACTACACCTTCAACTATAGTGGTTTGTCGAATCTGGGCGGTTACTCGCTGGACGATTTCAACTACACGGAACTGTGGTTGGACGTCTGGAATGGCACTGAGGTCAACAATGTCACCGAGAGACTGAACGCGACGGTGTTGTTACCGAGTGGCTATTGTGATGAATGGGAGGCTGCTCAGCATAAGCTCTTCCAGGTGAAGATACGTTTTGAACAATTTCTAAATTCTTTTTTAAGTTTCTAAGATCTTTCCTTCGCGTATAAATAAATAATCAATGCTTTCAATAAAATCTGTCTTTTGCAAAAATTCTACGAAAATTTTGCTCTATTTAAAGTTTTGGAGAAAGAATGTTCTTTATATATAATCCTACATTACTCGCGTAATTTTTCTTAACGCAATTACTCGCGTAAAATGTTTTTGTCCAATATTATATTTCAATTTTTATTGTTTTTTTTTTTATTATATAATTTAAAACGATATAGGGTTTTTCTTATTTAAAATTTATTCGGTCTAACAATTATCTCATGTGATGTTTAAAAAAAACGTATAATATTCTATATATTCTTCAGATAACACAATAAATGCAAAAATGTTTTTTTTTAATTGTGAAACAATTTATGCTATAAATACAGTAGTGTGTATAAACAATTCATACATTTATTTAACAAATTTATAAGGCGGACACTCCACGCGAATAATGAAGGATTAATAATTTGAATATTTTCTTATTATTTAAATTTATTATTAATTATATTAATTTCAGGCAGCAAATTTATTTTTTGCGGCTGCGTTTCTGGTGCCACGCTCGTTCAAGGCTTCCGTCTTGGCTCTTCGCACGTTTCTCACGGCAGGTTTCATGTTGGCGGCTCTCTGGGCCGGGTTCACCATATGCGCTCTAGATGCCATGTTATGGTGCTTGGCCCTTGGTCTGTTAAACGGCATTCATTCGTTGATACTCGCCTGCCGATTCCTGCCCCCGGCTCTTAGCCCCGAACTAGCCGAACTTTATTTGAAGCTCTTCAAGCCTTATAAGGTTAGCAAGAAGCATTTCCAGGAACTGGCAAAGGAGGCAAGAATACTCAAGTTGGATTCCGATCAGACCTACGCAACGGAAGGGGTCACGCCGGCGGATAGGAGGCTGTCTATTCTTTTACGCGGAAAGTGGGTATCCTTTTTAATTAAAAGTTAATTCTTTTAAGCTAAAAGTGTCATTTCTTGTGAAAGAAGGTTAATCTTAATTGAAATTAAGAGCTAATTGAAACTGGATTGATATAGATGCCTTTTATCTTATGTCTGCTTTCATGAAATTAATATTGAGAAATATAATTTTAGAACTTTCATGTCCTTTATTCGACCTTTTTTCATATACTGCATTAATTTATTATTGGAGAAAATTTTATTAAGCGTCGTCTGGTTTAAGGCTATTGTATGCAATTTCGATGTCCGAGTTTCTCCTCTTATTTCAGAATGAAGGTAACTTGTGACGGAACTCACTTGCACTACATCAGAGCCTACCAATTCGTCGACTCGCCCGAATGGGAGGCCACGCATGAAAACGATGCTGACGTCTTCCAGGTGACGATACTAGCCGAGGAGCCCAGTACGTATATCTGTTGGACGAGAATGAAGTTACTCAGGGTGCTCCGGCACAGACCATTGCTCAAGGTCGTTCTCAACACTCTCATCGGTAAGGACATTACGTCCAAGTTGTATGCCCTTAACGAGCAGCTCGCTGGTGTCGCGGCCGCCAGTGAGAACGCCACGTCGAATCCTTACAGGGGGGTCACGAGAAGCCTCAGCGTCGATGCCGTTAATACAGAAACCGCCGGAAGGGTTCGATCGACAACCTGGAAAGCGCAGAAGCAGTATAGCAATTTGCGTAGTGACAGTAAGTGTCGCAACTTATATCTCTTTTGCTTGATAATTCAAACAACAGTTTCTTAATTCTACATAGACTTTATATTATCTTAGACATTTGGATCCTGATAATTAATCTCTTATATCATGAAGATACAAAGAACGTGTTTATCGTAATTTTATATTTCGCTTTGTGCGATTTAATCCATTATCCATATCAAGACCTTCATAATTCGGTTTATGTAATCGGTCACACAAGCAGCATATTCGCTTGTGTGTGACAAATTGGACATTAGAAAGGCTAATCTTTAAAGGCTAACCAAGATAATTGGGATTTGTGTGTCCCCAGGGAGCTCTTTGGCCCGGTATTCCCATCAGTACTGGGCGCCGGTAGTGGCGAACCATTTTCCGTCAACCTCGCCGTTCATTCAAAGCCAAAACCTCGGCTACTCGTTACTGCCGCAGGGTGACCAGTTCTCGCCACCTCCGCGAGCACCCGTGCTGACCCACCACCCTCCCGTGGCGCGGCAGCGAAGCGGGGATACTGGCGGCGATTACACCCTGCTACCTCAGACACCGAAGCTCGAGAGGAAACGTTCGAGAAAAGGGACTCGAGAGGTACGTTGATTTCATTCATTAACTTTGTTACGTTGACTTCATTATAGAGATACGATAGAGGATCGAGTGCGGAAAATGTATCTGCTATTTTTAGATCAAACAAAGCAGGATATACACGAATTTTAAAAGCGAATTAACCAAACTAACAAAAAAACGTGCACAGAGCGATATCTTTGTGCAATTTAATTTTTTTTCTGGATTTAATCGAATGTCAAATTTATTTACGTTTCTTAGATTTAATATCGAACATTATAATGAAATTAAAATAAAATTTCCATATGTAATTTCCTTATTTAGCAATAAGTAATTTCCTATGCTACATATATATATATATAGTGACCTACCGTATTGCTTGGGAGAGAACATATTCCTTATCGCCATCATTAACGCTTCCTCTCTCCAAACAATCAAACTGTAGTACACTTGTGTTTCTACAAGTAAGTTTATGCTATTCTGATTGCTATCCGAATATACTTTGGACGCCAATCTATCATAAGTACATCAAGATATTTGCAGACTCTCCTTTAGCAGACCTAAATTGTCTAGTACCCATACTTTAATGCACCGTATTAGAGAGATGTAATTACAGTTTCTAACATTAAACGATGTAATTACACTGTTTTATGTGTATTAAACTATAGACATTTCTCCGTTCATTTGCGCTTACTGAGATTTTCGCCGATCTAAAGATAACAGACCGTAATTTATTTTAACAACTTTAACAGCTTGATAAATAGACATATAGTATAACATACATGCACGTGTAAGATACGATTTAATTTTCCGAAACTGATGGTGGGTGTATTGGACCTATTTAATTATATTCTTTATGTAGAACCGAAGTAATTAATTATTTGTAACGTTACGGTTACAAGTTACTTTTTTTTATAACGGATTGGTAATGGCTTTATTTTTTTTTTCGTAACTGTAATGGTAAAGTAATTACATTTTTTTTTGATAACGGTAATGGATTTTACTTTTGTCGTTACTTTCTATATTTTTAACCTACTTGACATAATTTTCGCATATTTAACCTGCAGTTTTGGATCGCTATTTATTGTTACATTTAAGATCGTCTCAAGAATAATTTAAAGTTTTACGAACACATAAATTTTTTCAATGAATTTTTTTTAAACCTTAACAAAGAAATCGAGAAAATCCACGGAAAAATGAGAAAAAACCGTTTTTTTTTATCTAAAAAAATTTCTTTTTTCGTAAATTTTAAAACTATATAAAAAAATAATGGAAAAGTAACAAATCGTTACATTTCAAGTAACGATAACGCTAATTGGTACTTTTGAAAATCAGTAGCTAGTAACAATAATAATTAACACTTAGTTACCTTTTTGAAACCCGGTTTTTCTTTATCTGGTTAATTTGTGGTTGAACTTAATCTGATATTTTATTCAATGGACTTCATTTATGACATCATCAGAGAAGAAACTCATTGGATAAAACATCAGATTAAGCTTAACTACAAATTAATTAAATAATGAAAAACCGTATCGGTAACCAGACTCGGTAATAAGTAACTAGTCACTTAAAAAAAAATAACTTTCCATTCTCCGTCTTTATGTTACATCTGCAAATGTGAATTATTAAATGTGTTATTAAAATAAACTTAGTATTATGCGCACGCGCACACACACACATACACATTTTTTTAATACGAGTTATGTAATTTTGGTTCCTTCGAAATTAATTAATACTTTTTAGTTAACATATTATAAATTAAGTGGATCCCACAGACCCATCACTAGTAATTGTGTATTTTGACATCAGCTCCGGAGAGAGTTATAATATTTCTTAAATATTTTCTGATATTCTTAAATAAAATTCTCTGTTTTTGTATTTGACTTGTCAACGTGATATTATTTGTCATGATTTTGAAAGAAATCTTGTCGCCTGTAAATAAATCAAAATAAATCTTTTTAGCTTCTTCTTTCAGGAAGAAAATTAAATTAATTGTTTAATGTTTTTTTATTCTATTCTTATCATAAATTATAAAATAAATGTTCCAGGTGACCTTCGAGACACCGGTATGACGCTCGCCCGACGGGGAAGGGCCTGCCAGCGTGCCTCTACTTTCACTGTCGCCGCAACGCTCCGCCTAGCCCCGTCGTGGTCTTGTCGTCATCCTAAAGCACACCGCAAAACTCACCCTTTGAACTTCCGGTGGACACGATACCGATGAATGGCCTATTTCTTCGGAAGAGAGAACGCAACGGTCTTGGTACCGCATGGATTATGCTTCGGTACCACGAGGATCCTTGGTACCATAAAATCGCAAGAGCACTGGCGGAAGAAGTCGTTGGGTAGTAGTTTTGACGTGTGCAATTGATTTTCATATCTTGCAAGTGCCACGCCTTACAGAGACACGCACGCACGTGTGAAATCGAAACCGCGATGGCGGCCGTTAAAAATAAAAAAAAAGTATTCCGATATCCTTCGATCACATTTGGGGTATCCATCAAAGTTTCGAGATGAATCGAAATTCGATCGTGTGGTGGAGATGAATGTGAATCGTTCATTGACGTGAAAAGTATGAATAAAGGAGAGAGAAATCGTAAACAAAAGATTAAATATAGATTATATTATATTAATGAGCATCGCCTCTGTGTACACTTTTACATCGACTGTGATTACAACGGATATAATTATTAAGTCTTTCAGAGAAACGCTGATTATATACACATACAGGAAAACACGTGCGTAAAATAGCTGCCGTGCTAACCATACACGCATATCTCGCATTTGCGCGAGTTAGGATATCCTTCGCGCATAACGATTTCCGATTTTGATATATATACACATTTGCATTAAACAAATTCCTAATTCTACAGATTTTTTTTTACCCTATTCTCTTATCAATGATTCCAAGCAAACGCCAGTTATTCATTTACACACAAGCAATAATCACTTAATCTATGAATCATTGAACAGTATTTTTTTTGTGCATCAATATAAAAATAATATTTGATTACTATGTATTATTAATGAAGGACATCCAAACAGCGTAAACAAATCGGGATTGTTGTATAAAATTAGTGCATAAAATGCGCATTCACGATAAATATAATATTTCGAGAAAACACGCAGCAATTTGTGAACAGAAAATTGCATTTGCACATTCCTTAATCAATTGTAAAATGCGTAAAATAAATAAACAGAAAAAAATAAAGATGAAATGAAAAAACCAGCCGAATGATCCGGGTGTAATAAAAACAGATAAGTGCTTTGTTAAAAAAAAGAAACCTGCAATAAAGTGCTTCGAAAATCGTAGTTAATGGCGAGATGCAAATTATAAAAAGCAAAGTTTAATTATTCGCGCAGATTAAACGAAAGAAAAGCTAATATGCGTCGTGTGTGACACGTAGAAGAAAAAAAACATGTGTGTTTGTATGTTTCTATGTTTATATAATCACCGCGTGTGAGAGTGAAGCCGTAGAAGATCAATAAAGACGCACAAACGATTAAACAAAAAACGTGAAGGGAATAAAATTAATAAAAACGGCTGTGTAGAGTCGAGTGTAAATGTTAAACACAAAAATGGTTGTAGAATATGTAAAGTTACGAAGGATTCTATGAAGTTTTAAGAGGCGCACACGTCGGAAAAGATCATTATTGTTTAAAGTAGAATTTATTTTTATCAAATTAGATTGTTGCAGTATTCTGTTATTACGTAATTTTTCGCGAAAATTGAATTTATATGTATATACAATATGTAGCATATATAGAAACTTTATACATTTGTAATAATCAAAATTTGAAGAAGACTGAGTTACTGTAACTTTGTTAGTTCCTATGATATTTGCTGTAATGTTTAAAATTTTATTAATATTGGATTTGTTAAATTATTGTTAGAATTAATTTTAGGACTAAATTGCACATACCGAAAATTCTTGTGTTTGCAAGACTGATCTATTTTCCGACGTAGACAAGAGCCTAAAGTACGAAAGAATCTGTTTGAGTGATCTTTGTTGACGTCATGTCAAGAAAATAAATGAAATCGCGTAAGATGGACTGCAGCAGCGACACATCAACATCACGACAACATTGTATGTAATTATTATTTACGATTACAATATGTTCGTTGACTATTACGTTAGAAATAAAAATTACGTTGAAAAACGTGTAGTATAATTAAGTATAATGCCAAATCATCCTGCTTCTAATTTCCATTTTCTTCGTTATTCTTGCCATTATTACACGATGATGGGATAATTTCAGAATTGTAATTTTTTAATCCTAAATTGTAATTAATAAGATAAATATTTAATCGCAAGAAATAATGTGTTATATTAAATAGAAATTATAAAAATAGAGTACAATCTTAATAAATAAAACATAATTTTTTATATTTCCAGGCCAAAATATAAACTATATGCATGTTGGCATATATTTATAAATAACACCTAATCTCAAACGCGAAAAGTTAATATGTAAAATATGTCAAACATAACAAGCAAATATAAAACATAAATATCGAAACAGAAACTCAACTCTATGAATTTTTTATATTATTAGTTTTAGAATTTTTATTAATCAAAATTTAATTATTATATATCTTACAACACAAAAGTCATTAATCGTCATTGACTTTTGAATTTGAATTTCTTAGTTATTTTAACTTGTACACTTTTACCTCATCATCATCATCTTCATAATCGTTATTTTGTGGAGGATCTATGATATGCTTTCGCTGATAGAAATCATATTTCTTTTTTTCGCTTTTATGCGGAAGTTGTATGACTATAACAAAAGGTTTATCTTGGTCAGACGTATCTACCGCATCCTCATGATA